TTTTTAAGATGCTAGGAATTTTTTTTTCATAAAAAAGTAGCTAGTGGGAAAATCTGAGCATAGCCCCAAAATTCATAAATGGTAGGTAGCCATATTATCTATAAAAATTTATAGATAATAGTGTTTGATATACTGTAGATAATACCATGTACTTCAGTAAAAGTGACATGGAATCTGCAGTACAGTTAATAATTGGTGTGTGACTGCTAAAAAGGAAAAATATCCATGGAATAGGAAAGATTATTGTATAGAATATGTAAAATAATTTGTTTGGTTTTGTTTTTTAACTACTATAACTATTAAAGCCCTGGGTAAATTAAGGCTTTCCTTAGATAGCAAGAGAATGCATTCCTTTACTTCCATTGTCTTATCTTTAGATAAATGTAAAAATGTAAGAATATTTCAGTCATTGGTAATTTAGTATATAAGTGATGGGTTTCTTTTATCTTAACAGGAAAAGATTTTCAAAGCAATTAGGAAGACTCTTAGATTTTATTAGTCATCTTTTTTTTTTTAACTGCTGATGTTTACTTACCAGAAACAAGTATTCATCTTTGGCAATTGTATTATTTCTCCCGATTATTTTGCCCTCCTGTAAAATAAAGTTGTGTCAATCTTCATTGTCCTTTTTATAATTTCCTGAAATTCAAGAATTTTCGCCCTAAATAACATGTTAATAAGTCATGTAGTACAAGCATCTGATTTTACAGATGAGTAAATGAGAGCTGAGGTTAGATAATCCTAATTTTGGAAAACATTTTTTTAACTTACTGTTATAATATTTAAAAATTGGTAATTGGATAGATATCAATGCATTACTTACACAGCATAAGAAATTGCATTGATGTACTTACTAATATGTATTATCTGTTACTATAATGCTAGAAAAGTATGCCATTTGAATTAAAATATTTACATTTTGCGCTACTAAAGTTGTAGAAAATGTTCATTTCCAACTTTCTTTCATACTCTATATTTTTCTCTAATTTTTAATGCTGGCTAGATTTGGGCAGAGGAAGTGACAAAAGTAAGTAAATTATTAATTTATAGAATTATGAAACAAACATTTAAGTGTTATTTTTTAGGTTAATGTGTACTGGACAACAGCCATGGATCCAGTCACAGTCTATGTAACTGTATTATAAAATCTGGAAATGATAGAAATGCTCAGGTCTGTTTGACTACTAGCAGCTCCACAGAGCAGTAGAACAGTGCTGCAGAAATTTGCTTTGCATTTCTCAGGTAAATTAGTAGATACCTGGTATAAGTGGTATTCTTTACAATGCCTTGCCAGAAGACAGTTTAAATACTTAGTTTATACTCATGACAGTTCTTCCCTACCTCATTTTCAAAATGTAAGATATCATTAACACCGAATCATTTCATATATCTTCAGAGAAGTGGATGTGTCTTATGTCATACAAGTGACTTTTCTAGGTAATTGTATAGTTCTCTTCCAGCACTAAAACTTGTTAGTCTTAGACATATTAGTTTAAAATAACTGTAAAAGCTATACTGCTGCATTAAATAAAAGATAGCAAGTACATAATTTTATTTACAATTGGGGTAATTTTTTTAACTATCCATTGTTGTACTATTGTTGTACTATTTAGTAATTGGATCCGTTGTTTCTCAAATATGTTGTCTCTTCCTTCCCTCAGCATCAGACTGTCATTTCTAGAAACGGTCCCTCTCTGTTATAATTTCTAATCTTCTCTGGGTGGAAAATCAGGAAAAGCAAGACTTATAAGAAATAAAATGATCTTAGTGCACATTTGCTTCAGATGTTTATTTTAGGGCTCCAGAAGCATTTTGTCCTTTTACTCTTCCTGTTCAGGCCTGTCAAAACTGACCTGATACGGGCAGTACTGGGATTGAGGGCAGTTTATAACTTTACAAGCTAACTTTTTTTTAACTGACTTTGTAAGATTGACTTACAGTCTCACTTCTGTCATTTTTATACTTCAAAAATTTGTTAATTTAAAATTTTCATATTCCTGGGATACTATAAAGATTTAAGACCACAGAAAAGCTAGATAACACTGACCGTGATTGTCATAGCAAACACAGGGGGCTTCGGAAAGTTTGTGTAAAAATTCATAATCTTTTCATTATTGAATGAAAAGATAATGAATGAATTGTTCACAAACTTTTTGAAGTCCCCTCATACCTTAAAAGCATCATCAAAATTTTTAGTTCAGAAATACCCAATCCTGATGTCACAGACCAACAGATTGTCCGCTTTCCAAGTTACATCTTATTAAAAGAACTTTGCTTATCTAATCAGAGTTAGACTATCATATTCTCTAGATCAATCGGTTCAGTAATAGTAATTCTCATTTACTGAAAGATTTTGCCAGGAATTCAACATTTTAAATCCATCGTCTTTCAACCCTTTCTAATACTGTATCATTTTATCCCTGTGTAAACTGATTATGTTGTTGTGTTGTGAAGTGCCATCGAGTCGATTCCGACCCATAGTGACCCTGTATAGGGTTTCCAAGGAGCAGCTGTTGAGCTTGAACCGCCAACCTTGCAGTTCAAACGGCTTTGCAGTCTGGCGCATTAACCCACAGTGCCGCACCAGGACTCCTGGTGATGCTGGGCCTAAATCAAAATTTTTCAGCCTTTCAGATTGAATATTATGATGGACAGTGATATAAGAGTGCTTCAAAAATATTCATGAAGGAAATTGAATCAAAAGATAGTGGCATTTTTCCATGAACTTTTAGACGTCCCCTCATGTGTGTCAGAAGTATAGATGGTTTGGAACTTTAAGCCAAGTTTAGAGCCACCCCAGGCATGTCCTGAAACTTGTTCAAGAAATGTAATTCAGTCCTTTCTAAACATAAACTGCAGACCGTACAGAACAATTAATAACTTCCTAGGCTTTGTAACATGGTACCTTTCTTAAAAGTCAAAATTTGATCAATCCTAGAAGATTGGCCTTAATAAAATAATTTATACATGAGTGTGCTTCAAAAAGTTCTTGGAAAAAAATAGATTTAAAAGTTAATGGGATTTTTCCAAGATTTTTTGAAGTCCTCTCATGTATGTGTGTGTGTGTGTGGTTTTTGTTTTGTTTTTTCATTCTCTTAACATTGAAATATTATATCCACTTCTGTCTCAAGCTTCCAGGTCACTTCAGTTGGCTACCTAGCATTTTTCTACCTTGTGCAGAAATTGCCAGATGAATAACCTTTCCTGCTATTTCTACTAAAGGCTATAAATCAAAGTATATTTTCCACATTCTTTACTTCTGAAGTCCAATTACTTCTGAAGCTAATTTATTTTTGTTTTGCTGTGCTTTACTTTTATTATTCAAAATCTTCTATATTCAACAAGCAAAACAGAAAATAGTTCAAATGTAACACTGAAGTGATTGATTTTCCTTAACACTTTCCTTAGGAAGAACACTGATTCTTTTCTTCTCCTGGGACTTTTTTCTGCTTCATAGTAGCTTCCAGATGAAGCTTACCTCAGCCCTCCTATCAAAGCACCATGTATTCTGATTTCAGTCAAGTAAATTTAATTTTAACTCTTGACTTAATAATTCAAGTGTATTTCCATAAATTCAATCTAGTTGTCAATTCTTAGCCCCCTCTGCCAGGTCTGTTGCCAGTGGAATGAGAATGAGAGGAACTGATTATCTAGTTTGATTGTCTACTTTTTTGCTGCTACTTCCTTTTTGTCTGGTTCACTGGGTTGAGTTAACTATCACCACCAAAGGTTGAAGAAGAGAAGGATAGGGAAATAAAAGAAAAAATTCAAACCTTATTTTTATAGTTACACTGAAATCTTTGAAGTACCACAGCTAATTTTATGGGATTAGAGGAAGCTACTAGGAGCTTCAAAAAGTTCATAGAAAGATCTAATTAAAATACCATGGAATTTTTCCATGAACTTTTTGAAGCCCTTTTGTGTTTATGTTACGAGGAGAGATAGTTGGGAAAGTCATTATAATGACCTCACCAATGATTGTGGAGCAGGAAGGATAGGCTAGCTGTTTTGAATGAGCTATGAGGTTTTATTTTCTCTTTTATAACCAAACAACTCTGACAAAAGGTTTGAGAGCATGGTATGTTGGTTTTCTGTTTTTGTTTTTGCCAGTATTTACTAATTTGAGAGCATGTTGATTTTCAGTAACTATTTTGTCGCCACACCAGCCAGATGGCTGAAGCCAGCAATTTTGTGCTATTCTAGGCATTTCTTGCCAGCTTCTAGGTCAATGACTCACCAGGTAGATTGAGGTTAGGCTTGGTGGGAGACATTTATACCACAAACACCTACAAGCACTACAAACTGGTTAGTGGGGAGGAGCTCTGGTTTACTAGCACACCATTGATGGAAGAGCAACTATAACTTTCAGAAAATACATATTAAAATTATAAAGTATGTAGGTAATTTTTCAACTTTATATTTTAGGCAATGCTTTGAAAGTAAATTAAGACATTTAAAATTAATCCTTTGAGGGACATAAGAACTATGTTCTTAGCAACAAGTGTTTAGTAACTAATAAAAGAGGGTAGAATCCTGTGGCTTCAGTGTGTAGTCTTTATTTGAAACTAAAGATTATCTTCAAAGTAAAAAAACTATAATAATAATTGAGGATTTTTTATAACAATATTACTCTAATACTTCTAAAATTATAATCTTAATACTCTACATAGTATTAAATGTTTTCAGTTTAGCAGAATTGATACTAGAAAATGTATGAAAATATCTTGACTATTCCATAGTAGTTTTTCTAGACTTTTATGAATGAATATGTCTTAATTTACATTAATAAATTATTGAATCAAGTGCTATAAGGAATTAGTTCTACCTAGGTGAAGTAATATAGAAAGACTAAGGTTTAGAAACCAAGGACCAGTTAAGACACAAAGCAAAATCAGAGAATTGCCAGATTATTATTTGAGTATTTTTTAAAGATGTCTAAAGAAATATGTAAAACGGACTAAGTCTTCTAATATTCTAAAACTTAAACGTTTCAATTTAAGTCTGAACAGGAATTAAGAATAACTCAAAGTGAATTTGATCGCCAAGCAGAGATTACCAGACTTCTGTTAGAGGGAATCAGCAGTACACATGTGAGTACTCATTTACTGGAAATGTATTTGGAACAATTGTTAAGTGCCATCAAGTCGGTTCCGCCTTACAGTGACCCTGTTTAGGGTTTCCAAGGAGCTGCTGGTGAATTTGAACCTCCAGTAATTCGGTCATCCTTTACCAATATGGTATGGTGCCATACCGTAGACTTTGACAAATCCTAAACAGTGGTCTTTGGGGAGGAAAAAACGGAAATTCCTTTTTAATTTTTTATTAAGGAAATTTAAATTGTGGCATTCTCTGAGATACATGAGGAAATATTTTACATTTTTATTTATACCTTATCACTTAATTTTCCCACTTTCTTCAAACCCAGTCATTGTTTTTCTTAGCCATACAGTTTATTATTGCTATTGACTAAAGTCATTCTATAGGAGCATTGTAGGTTAGGCAGTTGTAGGTTGGGCTGCTAACCACAAGGTCATCATTTCAAACCTACCAGTTTCTCTGAGGTTTATCTGCTCTTGTAAAGATTTATAGTCTCCAAAATCCTAGATAGTTTCCCTGTGAATTAGAATCCTCTCAATGGCAGTGAGGTTGGTTTGTTTGGTTTTGAGGTCAGTTTTAGGCCTTGTGATATAAGATGTTGGATATTGGTGATTATCCATCAGTAAAATGTACCCTATCTCATCTTTGTACTAAGAACTGCCTATTAACTTTCCTTTACAGGCCCATCACCTCCGCTGTCTGAATGACTTTGTAGAAGCCCAGATGACTTATTATGCACAATGTTACCAGTACATGGTAGATCTCCAAAAACAACTGGGAAGGTAGTACTTTCCTTTTCATTCACTCTGGTTTGAGAGTATAGTGAAAGAAAGCATTTCTGGTGTGACCATTCATACTTGGCTTTTTGCTTTGTTGTTGTTAGCAGCCATTGTGTCGATTCAGACTCATGGTGACCCCATGTGTTACAGAGCAGAATGGCTCAATCAGGTGTATGAGGTTTTTGGGGTGCTGTGGGTTAATGCACTGGACTGAAAATTCAGTTTAAATTACTAGGTCAGAGGTTCAAGCTCACTAGTGACTCCTCAGAAACTGTATACAGGGTCGCTATGACCCAACTCAGCACTCCACAACAAACCTTTTAGAAATAAATTGTCAGGGCTCTCTTCTGATGCACCTCTATGTGAGTTTGAATTGTTAAACTTGTAGCTAGTGGTCAGTCACTTGATGGTGCCACCCAGGGGAGTCCACATTTTGCTTAAAGCCACACAGATGCTTGGAAGTCAGCCATTTGAACAAAATGTAGATAATACTACATTTTAAGGTAGGATCAAACATTACAACGGTGAAATCAATCCTATTATTTTAGGGAAGAAAGTCTTTATTAGCTCTCTGCCCTCAAACAACTATATTATTGGTAAGGACCAGGTGAATTAGCAGTGGAGAAAAATTTAAGCCTTTAGTTTGTTGCAAGTTACTGATTTTTTAAGACAATATACAGAAACAGTCGCATGTAGAATTCGAAAATATATGCAGATGATTTGCCTTTAGTTCTTAAGACTTTTTGTAAGGCACAGTTTAGGTAAAAAATTCTTTCCTTCATAGACTTTATTTGGAATCAGAGCATAAATCAATATATATGTACATTATATAGTAGTGTAATCTAGAAGGATTCTATAGGCAAAATATTTGTTGATGTAAGAAGCATTAAAAGAAGGTGAAAGGAATACACAAAAGTCACTGTACCCAAAACATGCAATGTTCAGCCATTTCAGGAAGTAGTATATGATCAAGAATGATGGTGTTGAAAGAAGTCCAAGCTGCACTGAAGGCAATAGCAAAAAGCAAATCTCCAAGAATTGACAATACCATTTGAAATGTTTCAACAAATTGATGTAGTGCTGGAAACACTATGCAAAGAATTTAAAAGACAGCTCCCTGACCAATGGATTGGAAAAGATCCATATGTGTGCCCATTTCAAAGAAAGGTGACCCAACAGAATGCAGAAATTATCAAACCATATCATTAATATTAATTCAAAAACAGTAGAAGTAGCATATTGACAGGGAGCTGACAGAAATTCAAGCTGGATTCAGAAGATGTGGAATGGGGGCTATTGTAGCTGACGTCATTATTGGCTAAAAGCAGAGAATACCAGAAAGACGTTTACTTGTGTTTTATCAACTATGCAGACGCATTCAACTCTGGATCATAACAAACTATGGATCATATTGCAAAGAATGGGAATTCCAGAACACTTCATTGCACTCACGCGGAACCTGTATGTAGACCAAAAGGCAATCATCCCACTAGAACAAGGAGATACTGAATGATTTAAAATCAGGAAAGATGTGTGCCAGGGTTGTGTACTTTCACCATAGTTATTCAGTCTGTATACTGAGCAGATAATCCAAGAAACTGGATTATATGAAGAAGGAAATGATTGGAGGAAGGTTTATTAACCTGTGATATGCAGGTAACAAAACTTTGCTAAATGCAAAGAGGTCTTGAAGCATTTTCTGATGAAAATCAAAGAATATAACCTTCAGTATGGATTACAACTCAAGTAAAGAAAACAAAAGTCTTCACAACTGGACCAATAAATTCATGTGAATTAGAGAAAAGATTGAAGTTATCAAGAATTTCTTTTTACTTGGAGCCACAATCAATGCTCATGGAAGCAGCATTCAAGAACTAAAAGGACTATTGCATTGGGCAAATTGGCTGCAAAGGACCTCTTTAAATTATTAAAGAGCAAAGCGATCACTGAGAACTAAGGTGTTTCTGACCCAAACCATGGTATTTTTCAGTCATCTCATATGCATGTGAACGCTGGACAATGAATAAGAAAAAACAGAATGGAAATTGATACATTTGAATTAGGACCTTGGCAAAGAATATTGAAATTACCAGAGAAGAAACAAATCTGTCTTGGAAGAAGTAAAGCCAGAATGTGAAGACAACAAGATGCTAGACATATTACCAGGAGAGACCAGTGCCTGGAAAAGTCACCATGCTTAGTAAAGTAGAAGTTTAGCAAAAATAGATGACTCCCAAATGAGATGGATTGACAACAATGGCTGCACCAAAGGGCTCAAAGACAACAGTTGTGTGTGGGTGTTTCAGGACTGGGCAGTATTTTATTGTGTTGAACCTGGGGTCACCGTGAGTTGGCATTGACTCAACAGCACCTAACCACAAGATACCAGTGGTAATTACTGATTCGTGGCAGAATAGAATTTGTGCTCCATAGGGTTTTCAGTAGTACTTTGCTCTGGTTTTCTTTTAGAATATATAAGATGGCTTTAGAAAGTTCCTGTAAGAGTTCCATTATCTATTAATTCCATTTTCTATGAATTTATTGAAGCCATCTCATATAATGCTTATGACAAATGTCTAGGTAATATTGCCACAAGTCTCTGGGGAAATGAGTAATAAAATTTGTGTGGAAATGAGAGAATGAATATTGAAGAGACAAAGATGGAGGAGAGAGAGGCAGAGGAGGAAGTTAGAAGAGAGAAATGGAAGCAGAATGTGAGGAAGAACCACAGTAGGAAGGGAAAGATGAGGGATAAGAGTGGATTCTGAAAGGAAAAGAAGACTTTGTAGAGTCGGATGCTTAGGAAACCATATTTTTTGTGCTTATTCAGTTTTGCAATGGGTTTCACAGTGTGTGCACTCAATTCTCATTAATCACTGTCTGGTGTGGCACTGTAGGATGAGCAGTGGACCACATGATCAGTTTGAACCACAAGATTGGCCATTCAAACTCACTAGCTGGTCCTTGGAAACCCTGTACAGAGTCGCTATGAATTGGAACTAGTTCCACAGCACTTAACAATAGTAACAACACAACTGTGTAAGGAGGCTTGGTGAGGTGCAGTAGAATAAGCACTGGCCTAATAACAGCAAGGTGGACGGATCAAACCCACCAACTGCTCCTCAGAAACTCTATTATACAGGGTCGTATGAGTCGGAACTCATTGACACTTTAAAACAACAACACAGCTATGTAAAAAAAAAAAAAAAAAATTGATACGATGGCACTCTAAAAGTTTTTCAAGGCTGTGACCTTTCAGAAGCATATTGCTACAGGCCTGTCTCTGAGTGCCTCTAGGTGGGTTAGAACCACCAACCTTTTGTCTAGTAGTTGAACATTTAACTGTTTGCACCTCCTAGGGACTTTTAAAAAAAAACAAGCTCACTACCAGCAAGTCAATTTCGATTCCTAGCGACCCTATAGGACAGAATAGAAATTCTCTGTAAGGTTTTCAACGCTGTAAACGTTAACTGAAATAGACTATCTCATCTTTTTCCCATCGAAAGACAAGTGGGTTTGAACTTTTGGTTTGCAGTCCAATGCTTAATCCACTGTGCCACCAGGACTCAGAAATCTGTATTGGAGAACAGAATGTGTCCTACTTAACCAGACATAGCAAATTCAACAGCTACACATACAGTAAATGTATTTCATGTCTTGTATTCAAAGCAATTAGTAAATTGTTGTTATTAAGGGCCATCTAGTTGGTTCTGACTCATAGCAACACTGTATAGGGTTTCTGAGGAGCAGCTGGTTGGTTTGAACCACCAACCTTGTGGTTAACAGTCCAATGTTTACCGTACAATGTCATATCAGTACTCCACAGTAAATTGTTATTGTTGTTAAGTGTCATTGAGTCAATTTCCAACTCATAGCAATCCTATAGGGTTTCCGAGGAGCGACTGGTGAGTTTTAACCACCAGCCTTGCGGTTCAAATGACCTTGCAGTCCAGTGCTTATCTTACAGCACCACACCAAGACAGTAAATTGTAGGGGGAGGTTATATGCTCCAGTAAAAATAATGGTGTTCACACAACATCCAAGAAATGACATCCTGTTTTACAGACTATAGGGATGAAGTCTTAATTGAAGCATATTGAGTTTCATATTATAGAAAACTTGAAACATTCACTCTTCCTCTAAGGCTAAAATACATAGGTATCACAGAAAAGCAAGACAGAACCCACTGCTGTCAATTCGGTCCAATTTACAGTAACCCTTATCAGAATAGACAGCCTCATCTTTCTCCTGAAGAGCAGCTAGTGGTTTTGACCCCGATTTTGTTATTAGCAACATTCACCCACCCTACAGTACCACCAGGGCTTCTTAGCCAGGGACTATGGAGAAAAATTAGGCAGAAAAGTGCCTCAGTTAAGGGTGAAAGAAAGTATGCAGTAAACAAGGAAAGACAGTCTTAAAAAACATGAGAACAATGCATGTAGGCATCTGAAGGAAGAGTGCTTCAGACCGAGGGTACCGCAAGAACAAAAACCCTGAAGGTGGCACATTCAAGGAACATGAAAAAGGACTTAACTGGAGATGAAATGTCGATGAAATATGGAGCTTCTAGAAACATACAGAACTGTGAAGTCATTGTAGGATTTTGAGCTGAGATTTTAGACATTAGATCATTCTGGGTGCTATATTAAGGATCAGTGTTACGAGAATGAGTGGAAACTGACAGATTTGCGACCTATTGCAGTAATTCAGTCATTCCAGTCTGGAAATGATGATGGGCAATTGTGGTAGATGTGGTGTAAGAGCTGTGATCCTGGGTTTATGTTCATGGAATTGTGGCTAATTAAAATGGGAACTACCACAGTAGAAGCAGATTTGTGGATGGCTTAGCATATTAGATATATTAAAAGATCAAATTTTTAGACATGTTAAATTTGAAATGTCTTATTTCAAAAGAACTCAAGAATCACCCTGAGCAGTGAGCTAAGATTTAAATGAAGTGCCCTAAAAGTTGGAGAGAGCTCCATAAGGCAGGTGAGATTAAGGATTGAGAATTGACCCTTGAATTTAAAAACATTGAAATCATTCCTGACCTTGATAATAATTATGTTTAGATGTAACAATAGTGGCAAAAGCTAATTTGACATGACTATATAAGAAAATGGATGAGGAGAAGGCAGTAAGTTTAGAGAAATCTTTCAAGGAGTCTAAAAAGGAACAGAAATGAAGCTGTAGCCAGAGGAGAAAGTGGGATCTAGTAGCTTTTTTTTCTTTTTACAAGAAATAAGAGTGTATGTAAGATAGTGGGTGGTTGTTGTTGAGTGCCTTCGAGTTGATTGCTGACCCATAGCGACCTTGTATAGGGTTTGCTAGGAGTAGCTGGTGAGCTTGAACCACTGACCTTGCAGTATCAAACGGCTTTGTAGGCTGGCGCATTTACCCACAGCACCACACCAGGACTCCAAATAGTCGGTACAATCTAGTAAATAAAGAAATTTTGGTAATGTGGGCGAGAAAGAGAAACATTGCTAGATTGGCAGAGTTGAGAGGAGATGGCATTTTGTGCACAAGTGGAAGGATAAGCCTTACGAACATAGAAGAAGCTCATGTGTAGTAATAGGGAAGATGATAAAAAATGGGAGTTTACTGATTATTTGTTTTCTCTAGTTTAGAAAAGAAACAAGTTCATTAGAGTGTGGGGAATATTGTTGGAATTTTGAAGAAGGATGGGAGGGTATGAAATAGTCACCAGGAGAATGGAAAATGAATGGACTAGAGAAATGTAGTGAAATTGCCAGGCAACACTGTGGACCCACTTGAGGTTTCTTATAATTAGTTGAATGCAAAGCCTGAGAACATGGTATTGTATTTTTTGCCTTCATAATAGATGCATGAGTAATGAGGTGGCAAGTAATGGGATTTTTACCAAATAAGTACAGTGAAATGAAGAGGCATAGAAGATGAGGGCATCTGCAAGGAAATGATTATAATACCATAGTTATGAAGAAGTGTTGGTAGCACAGGTTCTGGTAGACATGAAGTGAGTACTAAAAAGTTGATAATCAGAGCATGGTCTGCTTGAAATTATGGTTATTGGATTGGTTGCAGTTACTGAAATTGATAAGGTTTCGATGTAACTGTGGAAATGGGTCAAGCACAAGATGTAAAAACAAAACAACAACAACAAAAAAACACAGTTCATGAATCTGAGAAGCTAAAAGTGTTATAAAAGGACTGTCTGTATGAGCAAATTAGGATGGCCAAGTGGGCTAAGGTTCTGTGTTCAGGGCACAGTCTTACCTGGAGGCGTGGGTTCAAATCCCGCTCCTGACAATATGGTTTTGGAGTCCTGGTGTGGCGTTTTGTGTGGGTTAACGTGCTGGACTGCAAGGTTGGTTTGAGTTGCAAGGTCAGCAGTTCAGGCTCACCAGTTGCTCCTCAGAAACCCTATACAGTGTCACTGTGCATCAGAACAGACTCAACGGCACTCAACACAACAACAACATATGAGTATTAGAATCATCAAGAATTAATTAACTTCTGGTACCAGTGAGCCCAGGAACTAAAGTCTACTAGATATGAAGGGAAGGAAATGAGGGCTCTGTAAATGATTGCAACAAGAAGAGATTCTGGGTATCTAGAACCCAGTAAGAATAAGGAAGATCCTGAAGAATTGATGCATTTGAGTTAGATTGTTGGAGTACCATGGGCTCCCGAAAGAAAAAACCCATCTGTGTTGACACAAGTACAGCCAGAGTGCTTCTTAGAGGCCAGCATAGCCAAACTTCATCTCTCCATACTTTGGATATATTGTCAGGAGGGACCAGTTACTGGAGAAGGCCATCATGTTTGGTAAGGTGGAGGGTCAGAGAAAAGGAGGAAGACCAAGACCCCCAGCGAGATGGATTGGCAAAATGGCAGCATCAGTGGGCTCAAGCATGGCAACAATTGTGAGGTTAGCCAAGGACCGGGCAGTATTTCCTTTTGTTTGCATAGGGTTGCTATGAGTCTGTACCAACTCAATGACACCTAACAACAAATAACCTAATAACATGATATTCAGAAATTAGGTGGGGCTGGTAGGAGAAAGGAGTCCAGATAATGGTGGAAGGGAAATAAAAATTTTTAAAAAAAACAAAAAACAGTATTAAGTGGTGAAGGGAAGACTTACAGAAGAGGAAAAGGGGAATTTTGCTGATGGATAACTGACTTCTAGAAGGCACGATTGTCATAAAGAGAAGAAGAAATTTATTTTTTCTGGAGGATTAAGTTTTACCCTGCTGTGTGGTACAGGATAATGCACTGGACCGTAAAGTTGATTTGAACAGCAGGATTAGTGGTTCAAACCCACCAGCCACTCCTTGGAAACCTTATACAGGGTCACTATGAGTCTAAACTAACCTGACAGCACTTAACAGCAACAACAAAACACACTAAATGTTTTGCATTCTAACTAATGTATTTATTAAAACTTAAATATGCATTTTCACAGATAGTTTTCATCCTTAGAAGAGGTTGGATTAGAATGATTGTAGTAATTTTTTATTTAATAAAAGACAAACTAGTCATGTTTGCCTTATTTTCTCTCATTGCGTGTATCTTGTATTTCATTGTGATAATTATTCCTTGTAACTTTCATCTGTGTGTCAACTTGGAGTAATGCTGGACTTGAAGATGCTCGATAAATATTTGTCATTTCATCGAATAGGAAAATGTGATTGGATTTGTTCTATAAAAATAATTCAAATAGTTCTTAAAGAATTTGAGAAAGTTGTACTCACAATGGTATCTGATATTTATATGGTTTTGTGGTTTTGATTGATAATTTTATTTAGTAGTTCCTAAAAGGTGGACTCCTGGTGTGCGGCGCTGTAGTATCAGCACTGGACTGCAAACTACTAGGTCAGCAGTTCAAATCCACCAGCTGCTCCTCAAAAATCCTATGTAGGGTCACTATGAGTTGGAATTGACTCAGTGGCACTTAACAACAGCAACAAAAGGAGAGAAGGGAGTCCTGATGTGGCACTGTAGAATAAGCAAGCACTGGACTGCAAGGTCGGTTTGAACCACACGGTTGGCAGTTCAAGCTCACCAGCTGTTCCTTGGAAATCCTATACAGAATCGCTGTGAGTCAGAACCCACTCGATGGCATTTAACAACAATATCATCATTGACCATGAGAGAAAATGGAGCTAGATGACACACACTTTGTCATTTACGTGTAAATCTTTTTCCAAAGTGGAGGTTGCTAGAAAGTAAGTAGTGCCACCAAGTGGCAATATTAAGGAACTTTAATTATTTGGAAATAGATAATTAACCATTTTCTTTTCACAGTTTTCCATCTAATTATCTTTGTAACAACAATCAATCATCAGTACAACCTTTACCACCCGCTTCGTCAAATGTGATTGTACCTTCTGTGATGGCTTCAACAAGTGGTTTAGGAATCAGCTCTCCCTCCAACCTCAGTGACCTTAAAGAGTGTACTGGCAACAGGAAGGCCAGGGTTCTCTATGATTATGATGCTGCAAACAGTAGTGAATTATCACTTCTAGCAGATGAGGTAAGTCACGTAGGTATGAAAAGAAAAATATATCATGAATTAGCGTAACTTCTAGTATGTAACAACGAAAATTCCTTATTACTTATTTGGAAGTAGTTTATCCTGAATTATTTCATAGATGTAATGTATTTATTCACATTCTGCAAATTTTTAATTACTGTTCTATAACGTAATAGAGCATCACAGAAATATTTAAAATTCAACTGCGTAATTACCAAAAGATACATAAAACTCTCCAGTAAAATCCTATATTTTAGTAAAATTGATATGGATGTTTAACCCTTTGGTAGCAAATATTTTAAATAAGTACTAACATGATTAGTTTTCTGTTTATTTTTAATATACTAACAGGAAACATTTTATTTTGTAGGTGATTACTGTGTTCAGTGTCATTGGAATGGATTCAGACTGGCTAATGGGAGAAAGGGGGAATCAGAAGGGCAGAGTGCCAATTACATACTTAGAGCTTCTCAATTAAATAGGTGGACTTTGGAAAGGTTATCCATCAGGACACCATATTTATATACAATTAACTCAATAAAAGCAGGTTTATGGATCTTCCAGGTTAATGTCTTAAAGAGGAGACTAACAAGAAAATACCAGCCTCAGAAGCCAGCCTCTCTGCCATTAAAGTTGCATGGTAAATATTTCATTACAAAATTTATGTTAGAGCTTCACAACAAGAATGTTTTCTTACAAAATTCTTTCTACTGAGGTCTCACTAACAAACAGCTTTCACTTTTGAGTCCCTACTTAATGCAGAAGAACTGTTTTCTACTGAATTTTTCACTAATGGCAAGCTTTTTCTTTTATGTAAAATAAATTTATTGTGAATTGCTATCAGTGACTCATTTATTAGGTATAATTAATAGCCAATAAATGAAATTTAAATTTGTTCTTAAATTTTTGGTTGAAAAAAACTCAAGGATCTAAACATCTTTTGTGAAGATTATTATGCTTCCGAATGCTTCCACAAACAAAAATGCAGTTATGCAACGTTTACCTTATTTTCCAACATAAATTGAATCATTTCAGTGTTTTGATGAGTTTTTTTGCTTTTAAAAAAATATTATTAAATGGTTTCACTGTAAATTTAAGAACAACTAGGAGAGGAGCTCTGGTAGTGTAGTGGTTACAAATTGGGCGGCTAATATCAAGGTCAGCAGTTTGAAACTACCAGCTGTTCCTCAGGAGAAAGATGAGGCTTTCTGCTCCCGTAAAGATTTACAGCCTCGGAAACCCTGTTACAGGGTCACTGTGAGTCGGAACCGACTCCACGGCACATAAGCACCACCACCACCAGTACTTGAAAGAAGAGCCCTGGCAGCATAGCGGGTTATGCTCTGGGCTGTTAACCACAGGTAGGCAGTTTGAATCTACTAGCCATTCCACAGGAGAAAGATGAGACATTCTGCTCCTGTAAAAGATTTACTGCCTCTAAAACCCTATACAGGGTCAGAACTGACTCGATGGCACACCACTACCACCAGTTCTTCTAAGTATTGCCATTATTATATGTTCTGGTATTTGTAGTTAAGATTCTAAACCACTGAACAAATTCAACTCACTATGTCAGTGTTTTGAAGATTATTCAGTTGGCACAATTTAGTGCCTAATTAGAACTGGATCTGTTAAGAACATGCTGCAGTTCATTAAAGAGTTTTTGTTCTTATTAAACAACAAATCTTTATTTAAAAAAAATATGAATTTAGTGCAACTGTTTTCATTATAAACTTACGTAACACTTCTCAGTTACTCTGAGCCTACTAATATTTGAAAGGTTATTTAATGACCAACTAAATCATCTAGGTTAGGCTCTCATTTTATGAAACACATGATAATAAAATGATTTAATGGTGCTTTTGCTACCACAGAATTGTGCTGAATCATCAGATTGTCAATTTGTGTCCCTATGAGGACTGTGTTCATTCTCAGTCATTCAACATACATTTGTGGAGAGCCCTTTCTATACCAGGTACAAAATTTAAGATCGGTGGAGGATATGGAGAAATGGAATTGTTCAATGACATAGTCTGTGGTATAATGAATGGAAGAAATCCAGAGTACTGTTTGGGGAGGCATATTGGGGATGCCTATATGCCTAACCCATTATTGTAAGTCCAAATTTAGGCTGTCAAAAATCCAGGGCAAGTTAAACAGTTATAAATTAGATTTGTAAGAAATAAGAGTGGTCAAGTATAGGTAATGTGAAATGGTCCTGGGTACAAATTGTTTTCCTCATGTACCGTCAACTCAGAAGTATCATGTAAAATGGGGGTAGTAAATATATGCCACTTTGGGGTTGTAAAGATTATGTAACAAATGGTATTTTATATGTTAGGTACTTTTTAGGAAAGGCTTTGCACATAGTATATATATTAACATTAAATATCAGTTTCCCCTTCTTAGATAGCTTCCTGATCCACCCAGACTCTAGACCTTGTTCATGACTCTGTATGAGAAGCCTCTCTTCTGCTTCCTCTAACCTTTATCCTTCACCCGCTCTAAACAGACCCAGTTCTAGAGTTAAGCTCAGTATATAGTGTAAATTCTTCATCAGATCTTCTACTTTCCTTTTAAGTGAATATAGATTATGGTACCCTTGATTGTTCAGAAGCCTTCAATAATGTTAGTGTCCAAAGCTTCTTGTGGTTGTTGACTCAAGTTCACTACAGTATTGGGTTGGTTCTTTTATTGTTTTGTATTTTCATGGGGTGTTGATTGTTTTGGGTTTTTTACTTGTCTTAGTTTGGCTTGGTTTTTTCTCAGCCTCTTAGGCATGGAAGGAAAGCTTAGGAAACCTATTAATTCATGGTATAATTCAGAGTTACTTAAATAAGTGCTGTGCCTCCTGAGCTTAATCTGAAGGTATAATATTAACAAGTGAATGAAATTTTAAACTTGAAAATAACGAGGCTCTTTTGCAAGGAGGAAAAAGGTAACTATATCTACCTTTGTCCTTAAAAGGTCATGGTGTTAAATCTTTCTCTTTTGGTGCTGATCAGAAAAATTCCTACTACAGGAGTTTAGATCCTGAAAATGAGAATGTGCCTCACTCTAGGTAACATGGGAAATAAGAAACCTGAGCCTAGGGTTGCTAGTGGATTAGAGCCCATCCTCTTAGTCAGCCATTATTCTCTACCAGAAGGAAGCTGGTGGAACTGATGTTGATAGAACATTTTTTAGATAAACTATGGTGTAGAGATGATAATAGAATAGAAGCAGGGCAACAAATAACAACTTTTACCACAGGAAACCAACATGCCTTTTTGCTTTATTAACAGGATTTTGTAACAATCCCTCCTGTACCTACCATATGCTTGAATTTTTTAAATGTGTTGCCCTACTGTATAGCACTTGTTAAGTGCTGTCAAGTCAGTTCTGACCCATAGCAACTGTACATAGGGTTTCTGAGGAAGTGATTGGTGAGCTTGAACTGCCAACCTTGCAGTTCAAACCAGCTTTACAGTCCAGCGCATTAACCCACAGCATTACACAAGGACTCCATCCATATAGCACTTACAGCCTGAGTAAAGAGTCATAATGGCATGGCAGGTGGCTTCACAGTTTGGCTTAAAGCCAGCTTTGCCACAACACTACCTCTAGATGATTGTCTCTTACCTCATGGTGAGACTAAAGGGATTGGGGTGGATGGGGTGGTTCCTCAACTACACCTGCCCACTCTGCCATAACCTAATTTGTGAGCTAATGTAGTTAGCCAGTGAGTCTCAAAGTGTGGGCTCCAGACCGTCAATGTCAGCATCAACTAGGAACTTGGTAAAAATGCTGAATCCTATTTCCCAAGACTTTATTTATGCTTGTTTTGTTTTCTTTTACTTTTGTCTTCAAAGGCCTATATAGAACTTTGAATGAGTGTGTTCCACTTAAACGCCTGCTGAGTATTTTTGTCTTTCCACCCTAAATATACTGAATCCAAATCTACATTTTAATAAGATCCCCAAGTGATTTGTATAGATCCTTTACCTGTAGAAATGTATTCTCAGCGAGGAGTTGAACTAAAATGAACCAGTTCTTTCATGACAGCTTTTCAGCTATTTTAAAACAAGTCATGTCTTTGCAGCTTTACTAAGTCCTGTTGTGGCTCTGTTGGTTAATACACTGGACTGCAAAGTCGGTTTGAATCTCAAGGTCAGTGGTTCAAGCTCACCAATCACTTCTGGAAACCCTAAACAGGGTCGCTATGGATCGGAACTGCCTCGATGGCACTTAACAACCACCCCCACCAGGAATCCTAAAGTTTTGATGTGGCACTATAGGATAAGCATTGTACTGCTAACTTCAAGGTTGGTGGTTCATACCCACCAGCCACTCCTCAGAAACCCTATACAGGGTCGCTGTAAGTTGGAACCAACTATACAGCACTTAACAACCACCACCAATCATGATTGTAATGATATAATTATTTTTATAATTTAATAATTACTACTCTGTCAAGTATTTCCCTGAGGTATGGAATGATAGTTCTGATCTCAGTTAAATTTCCAACTCTTAGCCCAAGGCTGAGCTATGCATAGTATGTACTCTGTATTTGTTGAATGAAGGAGAAAAAATGCAGATTCCCAGGTCTCGCCTGAGCCCTACTGAATCAAACTTTGGGGGTGGACCCAACAGTATGCAGTTTAAGTCGCTTTTCAGCTAATTCTAATGCATTCATGTTTAAGACCCCATACAATAGAACAATGGAAACTTGCTTTGCATCTTCAGGGCTGTTAATCTGACATCTGATTTGAAAATTGGTTCCTGCCTTTTGTTGCCTTCACCAAAAACACTGCTTTAAAGTTTAGAAGAACTTGAAGTATCTTACAAATGGATGTGAAGGTATAAGGATAAACTTGGTGTAAAGTATAATACAAGGAGGCTTCAAAAAGTTCTTGGAAAAATCCACGGACTTTTTTAAGCCGTCTCATATTGCTTGGTTGCTATGGAAGGTTCTCAAGAATGGATCTCTCCATCTGAAGAAAGTAAGCTGCCACCTCCCACATTTCCATTCAGCAAGGTGCCTTTTAATTGATGACAGTGTAACATCAAAACACTATGAAACAGTCTCAGATTAATATGTGCATCCCTGTGCCTCATGAGGTTGCTAAACTCAGTTCATGACTACTACAAAGGAGACTTTTAAACAGTTCATGCTTTTTCAGACATTGGTAAAAGCACAGTGATGGAAAAAAACACCCATAATGTCACCATCCAGGGAAATGTGCTGTTATTTAGGCGTATAGCTTTCCATATTCTTTTCTGTGCATAGATAATCTTTATTTCAATGAGATCAAATTGTATATAGTGTTTTGTAACCCTCAGCAATGTCATGGTTGTCTTGCCATGTCAAATACATCTCTAAATCTTATTTAATGGCTACATGGTATTCTAGAATGTGCCACAGTTCATTACACCACTGTTGGATTTTTAGGTTTCCAATTTTTCACGAATAAACTACTTTAAAGAATATCATGTTGATAAATATTTCCTTTGTTCTTAACAATTTCCGATGAATATTTTGAAGTAGAATTGCTAGTGCATTTAGAAATAAGCCAGTTTTTCTAAAAGCTTTTGTTACTTACTGCCATGTTCCCTAGAAAGATTTTATCTATTTTCATTTTTTTTATCAGCAGTATAGG